TATCAGGAGGTCGAGATTGTTCAAATGTAAGTATTCAGGGTTGTTGTGGCCTGGCAGACTCGTCCCTCCAGTGAATAGTCTGCTCGGGCTTTCGGCCCTAAAGCCTTATAAATAGAAACCCTAAAGCCCTAAGAGCCTGAACCCTCAAACTGGATTTATAGTGACTTGCATTGGCAGGATCCAGAGGTGAGGCTCTTTGAGAACTTTGTGTCGCAAGAGGAGGTTGGGTACTCAAATGGGGTTTGGTCGAAAGGTCCTTCGGATCAAAATCTAAAGGTCCCTGTAGGAAGTTATTTCGGTATCTTGTAGGTCTATGAGACACATAGAAAGGAAGCTGCTTTCCATGATTGCCCTTTGGGAAACAGGAATTTGGATTAAGGGGCTCCCAAAAATCTGGGATCCCCTCAGAGTATATAGCCCATTTTGAGGCGATGTCGGGTATACCCCAGTGCTGGAAATTCCACATTAAGCATCCCGCGGCAGGAACCCGAAAGGGCCCGTGAAAGACCACTCTCAAGAAAAGTCTCAAGAAAGGGGTGCTCATAGGGTTCCACGGTAGTTTCGGGGGAGGGTATCGTACTACTGCTAACGCTGCTGCTAATACTACTATGATGAACTTCTTCTCCGCCGGCCAAAAATCGTGCGACCGGCTGCCAGCATGATCCTGATGATGACGATGATGCTGATGATGACAATTCATGAAATCATTTTGATAAGGATAGTAATACCCAGAGTGATACTGACACGAAAGCTCGCGCAGCAAATTTTGAGGGGTCGGACGAGGGAGTCTCAAACCCGAACCATGAAGCAAACTTGAGACCTGCCCTCTGTCGCAGCAACTGGCAACAGCTCTGCGCTGACATCTGGCCTGACGCGCATGCGGGGTCTTGCATTTCCACCAGTTGCTGTGACAGAGGGTGACTCTCGAGTTTCCTTCACGCTTCATGTTTCCGACTCCCTTCTCCGGCCCATTAGAAATGCTGCTATTATCAGTAGTTGTGAGCTTTGCCCATCCCATGTCATGCGTCTGGTTTGACCCCGATCTTCTTCAAGGGTTTTTTGGCAGCATATGCCTCCTACTACTACTACTACTACTCCTACTACTACTACTACTACTGCTGCTACTACTACTACTACCACCACTACTACTACTACTACTACTTCTACTACTACTACTGCTGCCGCGTTAAAAGGGCGGTGTTTTTTGAGGTTCCAGCGGGTTTGGGCATGGATTCTCTGGTAACCATATGCTCTTGGAACACGAACGGAATTATGGTTTGGGCATGGATTCTCTGGTAACCGTATGCTCTTGGAACACGAACGGAATTATGGTTTGGGCATGGATTCTCTGGTAGCCAAAAGCTCTTGGAACACGAATGCATGGAAATGCTCAAAAACCACCGCCCTTTGAACGCGGCGAGCCCCCCTACTACTACTACTACTACTGCTACTACTACTACTACTACTACTACTGCTACTGCTACTGCCACTGCTACTGCTACTGCTACTGCTACTGCTACTACTACTCCTGCTGCTGCTGCTGCTGTTGCTGCCCCTGCACCCGCCGCCACCACCACAACAACCACCACTGCTACTCTCACTGCTTCAATTCTCCACTTTGGCGACCACGTTTTGGGCCAGTCATGTCAGCCTTTGGACCCGTTCTTTCTCCCTCTCTTTCTTTGTTGAGTTTGCTCAGCTTCCTCTCCAAAACGGTCCAACGGACCTACATGAGAGTGAGAACCCAAATCCAGGTTGGCAAATTTCCCGAAGCTCTGGATCCGGGAGCCCTGAGCCATAAACCCTAAGACGAAACCCCTACTTCATCAGTTCTACTCATGAAGACTTTAGACCGTACCTGAAACCCCAAATACCTCTAAGTCTAGTTTTACGGGTTATGCCGATCAATTCGTGTGTGTGTGTGATTATTACTATTACTATGATTATTAAGCTGTAGCAAATCGGGGTCACAGGTGTAAGCCCTGAACCCACGAAGGAAAACCCAAGTTATGACCAGGTAAGATCCGATAGTCACCTTGAATTAGCAAGATACAGAACCCTAATGGTTTTGCAATATGTCTATGTTAGACCCGAAAGCCTACATCATTCCACTAGCATTCTACTTTAAATGTTGCTTTCCTTTTTCCATACGATTCTGCCTCATTCGGGCAACACCCTGCCAAACAAATAACCCTAATCCTTTGATCCTAGGTCGGGAGATAGAGGGGTCCGGAAGGGATCACCGTTCGCCTGCGTGTCGTTGTCCGGAACTGACGTCCACGAAAGGGGTACAAATGGATGATCAGGCCAAGCGATTTTGCACATTGCGCAGACTATATAGTCCTCCTTAAGTAGATGGAATTTGGCTTTGGTTACATTATAACAAGATCCCATATACCCCATATCTACTTAAGGGTGACTATAAGTCGGAAGGGCTTAAACCAGAACCCTAAACCTTAAGTCCAAAAGCCATAATCCCTCAGCCCTACACGCGCAACAAAACAAGAATCGTATTGAGGTGGACCACCTCATTCGTCTCTGTGATGGGCGCTGGGTCGCACTGCCACGCGTTTGACTATGGAGGGGGGAGCATTGGGCTTGGTTTTAGGGTGTTAGACTCTAGGTTTTTTTAATGTTTAGGGCTAGAGTTCCAGGGCTTTAGGGTTCGGGGTGTAGGGCTTAAAGATTTTGGAATTTAGGATATAGAGCTTGGTGCTCCCCACTAAGAAGTTGATACAGCTTGAACTTCATCTCCGTGACAGGGATTCCAGATGACAGCCAACGCCCCAAACCCTAAACCCTATAAGCCCTACTTAAGTACTGTAAAGTGTAACTATCCCACAACGATGTTTGAATTCGGGCCCTTACTCTACCGAACACTATAAACTCCATACAAAGCCTAGATTCCATTTCACGCTCGATTTCATAATTTCATGTTGTTTTCTATTTGTCATTGATTCTTCACCATTTCATTTCTTCGAGCCCAAAATCCAAACCATTCCACCCTATATCCAGAAAAAAACTTCAGCTCTAGACCCTACACCCGCAGCCTAAACTCATAACCCTGAACCCCCTAAACTCTGAACGCTAAACTCTAGACTCTAAACCCTCAAGCCCATATAAACTTACCATTACTTGGGGTACCCACGTTTCCTTAATTTTAAAAGTTCAAAAGTTCAAAACCAAAATGACCACCCCCAAACCCTAAGTAATGGTNNTAAACTCTGAACCCTAAGCCCCAAATGCTCAATCGGGGGTAGGCATGTCCAGTACGTCACTATGCCAGGAGCGATCGAAGGTGTCCAAGGGTAAGGCACGGCGCAGAAAATGATGTATTGGGCTGCTGATAAGGAACGTTTATGGTTCAGAGTCTAGGGCTAGGGTTTAGGGCTGAGGG